ACTCTATGGTCAATTTCCAGCAAAGTTATGCTGGAGGACCTAGAGATTCCTAAGGAGGACATATTAATCAAAACCTCAAATAAATCCGCAAAGCTGCAAATGTGGAGGGTCAGATGTAATATAATAATATATAATAATATAATAATACAGTCGCACCTCCCTTCTTGTGGACCTGAGATCTGTGGACTTAAATATTCATAGAGGGGTGACCTCCTTTAATTTCAATGGGGCACGTGACCTGTGTGCACCGGCAGGCACACACTCCATTCAAGCCTATGGGGCTTGAATATTGGCAAGTCTCTTTTTGCAGGGGGGTCCAGAACAGAGGGCCACCATTTTATTCATATATAAATGTATTCATATATAAATACACACCCACATATATATATAGAAAGAGCATGGTGTTTGAGTATTAGACTATAACTCTGGAGACCAAGGTTTGAATCCCAGCTTTCCCACTGAAACCCACTGGGTGACCCTGGGCAAGTCACACTCCCTCAGCCTCACAGAACGGTAATGGCAAAAGCTGCTCTGAAGAAGCTTGCCAAGAAAACCCCACAATAAGTTCCCCACTTTAGGGTCGCCATAAGCTGAAAATGACTGGGGGGGGGGCAGACAACCACAGCAACAACAATATATAAAATACACACACACACACACACAACCCCTTTGATTTTGCTTGTTTTATATATGGGCCACCATTTTACTCCGCCATTGTATTTCATGGGACTTGAGCATGCACAGATTTTGGTATCGGGGTGTGTGTGTGTCTGTGTGTGTGGGGAGGGGCTGCTGGAATCAAACCCCAGCGGATACCAAGGGCTCACTGTACAAGAGGCCTGCACAACATACGGCCCACCAAACAATTTCCAGAGGCCCACGAGAAAGTGGGACAACTTCGGGTGGGATGTTAGTTGCTTGCTAATGGCCAGCCAACCTCTAGGCTAGGATAAGGCTTCTCTGCAGCCTGCCCTTACTCATAAGGAGAAGGCTGTGTTTGTGAGCTCACCCACAAGCCTCCTTCACAGTCCTGCCCTACTCCTAAGGAGAGGCCAGGCTGTGGAGGAGGAGGAAGGGGGAACAATCCCACAGAGCCTCTATCATAGCAGCCAGGCCTTACTCCCGATCTCTCTTTCACCATCCTTCTAATGCTAATGCTGCTAAAAAAAAACTTCCAGCTAAATGGAGGATGAGGAGAGAGACGAAGAACTAGGCAGGCATTGAAAAAAAAAAACTTGTAAAAGGAACTTTACTGTCAGAGTCCCTGTATTTTTTTAAACCAATTTAAGAAGCCATTTGTAGTAGTCTACTTTAATTTTCTACTATGTGCACTTTAAAGGGAAATATTACATGTGCCCATAAGATGGAGAAGTGGGCACATTTTAATTCACTGTTCCTTTTATTATGATATTTGTGGCATTTTAATCACTCTCATTCTCAAAAAAAAAAAAAAAAAAATCCCTGGTAAATCATATTAATATTATCTTTTCCCCCTACTTTCTGATCAAAATCCCGAGGTTATAAATAAAGTGCCTAGATTCTAAGCAACCACTCATAGACACTTGATAACTGGGTAAAAATCAACCCTAACCAATGAATATCTGGAAGATATTTTGAAAACATCAATTTCAGACATGATTCTAGAGTACAATAAACTGATAACTGACAAGAAGTGTGATACGTCCCATTAACTAAATGTTGCAAACAGTAAGAAAACCTCAAAAGTGCATTAAAACTTGTACTGCTAAGCAAAGCAATTTTTAAAACATTAATGTGATATCATGATAAGTGAAAAAATCTTAATTAATAAGTGTAATTAACTGATATTAATTGAAATTTCCTTTTTAATAATATGGTTTATTTGCGAAATAGTTTAATCATTCATTATACCTGTACTGGTGAGCCACTAAAAACCTATCTGCAATCCGAAGAACTTTAGCCTATTTTAATTCTGGCCCTTACCTACTTCCAAGTTGTGCAAGTCTGCTGTACAACCTTGTAGGTTCATATGGAATTGTTGTTTTTACTGTGAGCCTTCAAGTCATTTCCAATTTATGGCAAGCCTAAGGCGAATTTGTCATGGGGTCTTATTGGCAAGTTTCTAGAGAGTGGGTTTGCCTTTGCCATCCTCTGAAGCTGAGAGAGTGTGATTTGCCCAAGGTCACCCAGTGGCTTTCCATGGCCAAGCCAGCATCCAAACCCTGGTCTCCATAGTTCAACAGTGAAACCACTACACCATGCTGGAATCATTACAGGCTTATTTTCCTATCAGTCCCAACCATGGAATTGGTTTGATGGCCGTAGAGGAGATATCTCTCTATCCTGCCTTTCCCCTCAAAATTGGTACTCAAGGCAGCTTATAATGTAAAACAATTACAATATAGCTATTTAAAAAATAAGGGTCAATATTAAAATAGGATTGAAGTATTCACATTAGATAAATTTAAGACATACTTGGAAATAATACAAAGCAGTTAAAACAGTACAGTGGACCTCCACATTCATTAGGGTTAGGTGGCACAGGATCCCCATGAATGTGGAAAAAACGCAAATAAAAAACACTATTATTATTATTTTTTACTTGAGGGAACACCTCTCTAGGAATTTCTAGGTCCTCAAGAGCAACTCTTATGGTCAACATGTTCCAGAAGTAGACCACTGATTCACGCCGGAGGACCTACAAATGCCTAGAGAAGTGTTTTCTCTAATAATCTCTAGCTCCTCCAGTGCAACCCTATGGTCAACCGCTGATAGAGTTGTGCTGGAGGACCTAGAGATACTTAGAAAGAACATATTGATCAAATCCATAAATAATAAAATCTGCAACAGTCAAAGCTGCAAATGTGGAGGGCTAAGTGTACTAAATAGCATCCTCTTTCAAGCCTTTTCCTTAAAAGCTTTTATTTCTAAAAAGCCAATTTGAATAAAAAGGGGTTTTGCCTCCTGATAGAAGATCAGCAAGAAGAGGGAGGAGGGAGCTTGAGAACCTGGGGGTTGCCACTAAGAAGGCCCCATTTCATACCCTCACCAGCCATGCCTGTGAAGGG